CATAATAGCCATAAAGAATACAAAATTCGTAATATTCATCAAAAAAGAGATTTGTCTGTAGAAAGTCCTAAGAACGGGAGATTATTGAATTCTCGTGAATTGATTACTACAGACTGAATGAATTCTCTTTTTCAACGATTATATTCGTAAAGCAAACGTTTTTCTTTAAAATGAGATGAGGCGCACGTAGGAGTCATATTTTGGTGTTAATCAACAGGAGAATATTCCGAGTTGATAATCAGATCATATTCATTTTATTTAATGATTTTTGATCGAACTCATTTCATTTGAAATACACTGTTTAGAAAATAGTTTTCCGAGTGGTTCTAAGTTAAAGGAAAAATGCTAAAGAACTGCTCGAAACTGCAGCTTTCAATTTTAAAATAAAATTTAGTAACTCGAGAAGAAAAAAAGTGATTTTCATGTACTGATGTGAAATATCTCTTGTAAAAATTTCCGCCCGGTTTCAACGAATTTTTGAATGAGAACATGATGGCATTAAATGTGGTATGATTGAAGTTTGAACTACACTAGTGGTTATATCAAGAAAGAAACTGTTTTTACTTTTCTGGGAGTGGTTCAAATTGTAGAGGACAATTTACTCTTCCAAATGGAGTGCCTAACTAATTCTTGAAAATTTGGTAAAAAACTGGAAAGGGGGGTCTCACCGTAAATTATATTGATTTTATATGAAATAAATGACAATTTTTGAAAAGTCCATATATTTAATTCTCAATGATTTTATAATATTATTTATCTAAAATCAAATTTTATAATTTTTGTTTAAAATTATCATCTATTTTAGAAGAAGTGATAAAATCGAGATAAATTCTGAGAATCGAATTTTTGGATTTTTATATAATCAGGATTGATTTTATAGTCTAATTTTGTAGAAAGTTAAAGATGATCGATGATCGATGATTGTTATAAAATCTTCAAGGATTAGATATATGTACTTTTCAAAAATCGAAAATAGAAATTGTTTTATAGAATTTCTAAAATTGTTTTCGACTCTGTTTGTTTGTTTATTAGCTAACAGAAAAGCCGGTATCAATGCATTCTATAATTCCGTTATTTTGTTTGTTTGTTATTTTACTTTGCTAAGACAATATAAAATTAAAAACGATCTACAAGAGACAGAATAAAACTGACCACTAATGATCTAGTAGAAATGTCACTGAAGATGTTTTGAACATATTAGCAGACTTTTCTGCTGTCCTCTCCTCTCGATGGACGGATGTATTCTAATGGGATTAAACTAGACGGAGAAAATAATACTTCTTATGCTGTGTTCTTTGAAAAAAAATGACACTCATCGCTTACGATTCAAACATCGTCATCTTTGTACCAACAAAACTGAGCTGAATGAGATTAATAGTTAAGCATAATATAGGAGATTTTTGAAAGTAAATTATAGAAAATTATTTGATAGTTTACAGTTCTCCAAATTAATGTTCTTTCAATAATAAATAATCTCACTAATAGAATAACGAGTGCTCTACACAATCAAAAACAGTTTACGGTTCATACCACAATGGAAAATAAAAACCATGAACAATTAAAAATTATATTATGTGTCTTATGAATACAGCTATGCTATCAAGAATTATCAGAGCATAGTAGTTCGTACTAATTATACGGATTGGATTCTTGTACAATAAGACAGTGTTTTGAAAGGTAACAGTGTTTTAATCTAGTGAAACTGAAATGAAACGAAATGAAGTTGTTCTAAATTCTTTTTAATTATCTGAACTAAGCATCTTCTCTTGTCAAACATATTAAGTAAATCTTCTCCATCTACGCTCAAAAGGAGTTTTACTTTCTGTATAGGGAAGAAAAAGCGACCAAAGGATAAAATTAAAAACGATTGCAGATATTAATCGTTAACGATGTGCCTAGAGATGCCAACTAAGTAATAAAATAAAGTGAGACAAATAGAGAAATGTTGGACATAATATGGACTTTGTTCGTACTCAAAAGGACAAGACAAAACACATTATTTGTCAGACAATATCATTGAAAAAATTGAAATAAAAGCATAATAAAAAAAATAAAACGCCTATTGGAAACAGTCCGCAGAAAAAGTCTTTGCAAAGGGAGACATCCGGTGGGATAGATTTTTGCAGAGGATAAATCTCGAAATATGGGACTGCTCTCCTTGTGAGAGAACATTTGGCAACCGTGAAGTTGTACCTTATACTTGCCTCTTTGAAAGATCAGCTCTCTCATTGGTCCTAACACGATATCAAGTCGACTTTATAGAAAATCAAAAACAAGCATTTTTTGTTTTCCTATATAATGCTTCACGATATTATAAAACCTTTATAATCTCCTAGGGTTTGATAAATAATTCTTCATAAGTTTATAAAATATTTAGAATTCTCAATGTATTAACAAATTAAAATCATTAATAGTGGATGTTTTTTGAGTGCTTTTTCTTATATTGAATACAATTCAGCAGCCACTAGTTGAACGTTCATGCGATTGTAGCCATGTGATCGTAAATCGGTCAATAAACCGTTTTTTCAAGTGAAAAAATTTTGAAATAAGGGTTACTCAAAGGGATGAATTGTCACGAGGAATATAAGTTCAATTGAGAGACTATCCTAAGCATCCTACTAGAACCATATAAGAAGGCCTTAGATAGTGATTGAGAAGAACTGTTGTTCTAGCTTATCCACAATTTTTCGATTATTATCATGAAAAATCGAAGTATTTTGATGGTATTTATTTTCACAAATCAGAATTTTTCTTATTAAAATATTTTGTCGATAGTGATAAATTTAAAACTAGTTTTTCCTACTTGTTTCATAATTTTCCATTGGAGTTCGTTAAAATAATTTTAATATAACTCGTTTCGAGTACAGAAATCATAAGTAATCGAGCAATAGTAACTAGCAATAGTATATAGATGTGTGTATAGATTAACTAACTAACTAATAAGTCAATAAGAGAGAAAATAATATAATCTGAGAAAGTGTGTCTATGATATGTGTTACAGTTTTTGTTCGATGTTATAATAAAAACTGAAGAAAAAAGAGAATAAACTACAACCGAATACATTCTTATATACAGTGAAAGAATATAAAAAAAGAAAAAGTGAGGGCGGACATTGGCAATGGTTCTGTGCCCGTTGATTGCCAATTATCAATAATGAGCAACAAACGACGATTAGTAGTTATGAGAAGAGAAAATAAGACGGAAATACATCGAGAGATAGAAGAGATGAGATATAGTCGTTACATAAATGAGATATAGAGAGAGAGTAAAGCATATATTACTATAGTCCGGAACTATTGATGGTATATCGTCTTTTTGTTTCTTTTTTTTTTTTTCATTTTCACTTTCTGTGTCTTTCTCTTATTCGATTCATTAATAAAATAGATACAGTTGGTGGCAACAAAATAAAAAGAGAAAAAAAAGAGACAAATGCTCCATATTAAATGTTTATTGGGATATATGTTAATGGGTTTCAATGATATTATGCGCTAGACTTTTCTTCTCTTTTATATACACTATAAACATTTTATTTTTACTTTTAACGTAACAAATGAATACTTTTTTGTCATCCAAGAGTCTTTTTTTTTTCTTGCATCCTCATTATCTTCATAGTATTTTCTGATTAAGTTTTTTTGAAAAAAAAAAGAAAGAAGACGACAATGAAGTGAAACAAACGCACAGTCATAGTGCCACAGTATCTTTCTTGAATATTGTTTTTTAATAAGATTGAGAGACCTAAATGACAGACTATTTGTGTGTATATTCGTTTATATATATATATATCTGATAGACAGTCAGATATGTAACAGATTTTATATTACGGGTAACGATTAATGACTTTCATATAATGTATAACATAAACGAACAAGAAAGTGAAATAGTAACGCTGAGATATTTATTTCTCATCGCCTTATTCTCACCATTTTATTCTCTGTGTATTTCTCATTTACTCAAATGAAGTAACAAAAACGAACGTTCTGGTGCAAAGAAGAAGAAATAAAAGAAAAACTTGTTACGACGATTACAATGATGACATTAACGAGCTATTATTTATCAAGATGACTGTAGAAGAACTATTTTTTTCGTTTCCTGCGCTCAGTTATCTAACTATGTAGATCATACACAAACGATCATTGCAAAGATGAATAAAAATCAATCTAAAGTGTTGAAGAAGAGGATCTAATCTCAAGATAATTATCAATATCTTTTTGACAGCAAAGATCTGCGAACACAAGGTTTTTTTTTTCTGTCTCGAATCTATATCCAAGAATATTTCTCTTGAGCCAGCCTATTAGGTATGAAAACAATCACAGACTTAATCTTTTTTTCACTTTTGTTTCATAATTTTTGTCATATGAACTTACTTTCATACAAACAAAAATTATGAACACATAAAACAAGTTATTTAATGCAGAATCTATTTTTAAGTGACACTACTATTCTTTAGATATATTTATTGTAAGATTTAATTTTGTTTGTATTTGCCTTATCGAAATAGAGATAATACATTTTCCATAACAGCATAGTCCACAAACGCTATATTTATGCGCTATAAGAAGTGACCTGCTATACCTGCTAATAGCAGGTAACTTCAACAGTTGCTGAAAGCTAGCTGTCGGAAGAAAAAATGTGCAGAGGTCAAATATGGCCGACCAAATAATGAAAATTTCTCAACTTTAGGTGCTTTTTCTAGTAATAAAGCACCTCGTAACTCAGGTGTCACCAAGTCTCTTAATAAAAATAGATTTTGTGCGGAAATAAGAAGAAAAAAGCTGAAAAAGGATTAGGCCAGGTATATATAGCCGGCATCTCGTCAAAGAAACTGATTGATCAATTTATTCAATACGAATCACTTTTTTTGCTTTCCCTTAAAATCAGTAGCCATTTTTGACAGATATTATTGGCAGGTAACTTCTTTTAAACGATGTGTATGGCATTTTTATCATTTTTTCTGAAGGGACTGATAATTGTACCTTGAAACTATGATTCAAATCCTTTTCCTAAGTGTCAAATGGGACTAAAATCACAAATTCAGAAATATTTTTCGAATCTGGTCAATTTACAATTTTTGATTCATTATGATCTCTGGCATCATACCATTTTTCTCAACAAGTCTTAATAATGTCCTCAATTTCTTCTGGGATGTAATTTAAAGGAAAGAAATAATTATTAAGAAATGTATCATTCGAATTATTGAAACAGTAGACAAATGCTCAATTGCAAATTTCTTTAAATTTAAAAAGGTTGTCTCGAAAGTACAGAATACTGGCTTACGTCGTTGATTAGACATTCGTAATTAGAAATAGTTTCTATTCTCGCGAGTTGTAAGAAGTCAAAACTTAATTTGTTCGTACTATCTCAACAGGATGGTAACATCAAAGCATTTTTACCTAAGGAAAGAATGAAACAAGTAGCCACATATTTTCTACAAGTCCAGCAGAACGACATTCAGGATTGTCCTACAGAACTCTATCCAATAAAGTATAATATCTTAATATATTATTTTTTTTTAGTTTTAATCTGTTTTTAGAGTTCTTACCTTCTTTTGGTGGACTTATTTCATCATTTGTTGGCTTTTTTTCAACAGATCTTTCATCATTCTCCTCATTGGTTGCTGTTGTTCCATTTTTTATCTGTTTTTGTTGACTGTCCTGGATTTGTTTATCACTGTTCATATGTATCCTCAAATTTCGACTATTTGTTTCATTATTGAGTGAATCACATCGAAATACTGATGATTGTATTGCTGCTGGTGTCTGACTTTCAACTGTTGAAAATTCCTCCGTTGATAGCGGTGGTGGTGGTGACGATGAATTGATAGTATCTTGTTGATGAGTTTCGCTATTATTACTACTAATTGTTGAAATGAGGCTCTTTGTTTGTTGGTGACATTCTCTAATATTGTTCATATGTTTATCTGATTGCATATGAATGGATAAATTTCCTTTTGTTGTTGTAGAATAATTGCATATTTCACAACGATAAGGTTTATAGCCACATGAGTACGATTCACCACGTGCCAAACGAGGATGAAGTTGAGATGATAAACAGTATAAACATGATGTTTCTTGATCAGGATGTTTTTCTTTCATATGAATTTCTAATGTTTCCTGATATTTATAATGCCAGTTACCTAAAATACATAAATGAATTAGTTTATAGTTTGTGACAAAGTTTGAAATTACTGTCAAATATGAATAGAGTTTTGAAGTAGTCAATTTCATACTTCATGCTTACATTTTGGACATTTCAACGTTTTTGAGGAATTTCTTGTATGTAAATAAATTGACGAACTACCATTTGTTGTTGTTGAACTTGATAGTGTCCTTGCTAAAGCGCTTGTTGTCGACTGAATAAATGAATTTAGATAGTCGATTGAGGTGCTTGCTCCATTATCATACGAGGGTGTTGAAGATGATGAACTTAAATCTTGATGTGGAGGTTGTTTTGGGCTGTTTTCACCGCCGCCACCACCGCTACCATTACTGTTGTCAGATGATATAAAAGTACTAACTAACAATGGGTATTTTTCAGACTGTTCTGTTTCTTCTGTGATTCTTTTTACTGTTTTCGACACTTCATCAAGTTCGTCTTGATCAGCATCAATCTAAACAATTAACAAATTACATTAACATAATGGAAAAAAGAACAATAATGTTACATTTACTACCATTTAAAACTAGTAGTACTAGCATCGTATATCATTTTAACCTTGAGACAATTAAAGAAGTCGCAGTTGAATCAGAAGTGTTTCTCATTTTAGTAAAAACTCCATAGGTCTTCTACCTATAATTCATTTTTTCTCACGAGTTAAAATGAAATATTCATGCAGGCTAATGCATGGAAAAACATTTTGTAGAAGTCTAACTATTCACGTACTGGTGTATTTTTTAAAAATTTCGAACAAATCATAGAATATAGATTACAGTAACAATCGATTTAAAGTATGAGCGCCATAACTACTCGATTTTAATTATTTGCCGTTAGATGTCACTACCAGACACATTAGTCGATAGTATCCATAGCTGTCTTGATAAATATCGTCTGCTCCGATTATTCACAATGAGAGGATTACTAGCCAGATATACAACATTCATCATGTAGAAAATTTCTTAAACTTTGACTATCATCGAATTATCTATCTCTTACCTATTGTTGAAGACAGCATAGCGTAGTGGTTATATTGTTCGTCACATACCGCAAACGTGCTGTGCTCAAACCTCGGCACCACCAGATCATGTAATAGCTTTGGACAAGTTACTTATGTCTTAGTGTCGCGGATCATCTGTCCAACAGCACACTCACTACGTTGTGACGTACAATACAGTTCCTCTGGCTAAGTTCGTGTAGCTTTTCGGAAAGCTACTATGTGGTTAATGAGTGTGTATGGGGGAGTTAAAGTAATTGGGCGAAAGAGCTCTGTCTCAATCTAGCCTTCTGACCAGACTGTAGTAGATGACTGGTAACAAGTTTGGCGAACACATTAAAAGTTTATCAACTGCAGGGAAGATATCGGGCTATTGAAACTGCCATTTCATATCACCGGATAAAAAATAAACTTGGTTTAGAGTTGCTGAAAAGCGGTTCTTCGTATTCAGCACACTCGATAATCCAGAAGATTTTCTGTTTTTGGCCCGAGGTACTTCCGAAAGTTTAGGAAAAGTTTTCAAATTATTACTATTTTTCCATGGAAAACTTTTTGCGCCATTCTGTTTCAAAATTTTTCTTAAACTTTCGGAAGTACCCCGAGCCAAAAATAGAAAATCTTTTGGATTATCGAGTGTGATGAATACGAAAAATCACTTTTCATCAACTCTAAACCAAGTTTATTTTTTTTGTTCCGGTGATATGCAGCAGCATTCTATACCGAAACGATAGCCACAAGGCGGAGTATTCTTCCTTCTTCCTACCTGTTGTTGTTGTTGTTGATCGTCACTGTTTGTTACATCACTGTGATCTTGAATTTTAAATTGCTCTCGTTTAACATTATCTGACATTGACGTAAAATCACACGATGGATCATTCTTATATGACTTAGTTGAGATATCTGAACTTGCTTCTTCTTGTTTCTGATCATGATCATCATTCGACGGTGTTTTATTAACATTTATCTGATTTAACGATAACGATAAGGTATTATGGTCGTTATTTATCTCTGTTAAGTTTTCGATTTCGTTTTCGCCGTTACAATGTTTATCCGAAAAATGAATAATAGAATTATCGATTGATTGACTGTCCGTCAGCGTGCTTGTTTCGGAAGATGTCGACGATTGGTCTAACGATGAAATTTTCTTTGATATATGTAACAAATCATTATTTGAATGCCATGGAGTATGAGTTAATCGAGATTGATGACTAATTAATGTTTCGCTTGTTGTACTGTCAGATGCCATTGTTTAATGTTGATCATAGCTTAACATAAATCTGAAATATAAAAAAACTAAGTAAAGAATTATTTACTGTTTATGTGTACGGAAAACAGTGCTGATGGCTAAACAAACTCAAAATTCTTAAAATCTGATTGCTGACGATCGCCCTTTTATCTTCATAATCACAAAAAATCGATAATTTTTAAGACGTTTTTTAAATCACTTTTACTGTCGTCAGAAAAGAATTGAAACACAACACAGCGTCTTTCTTTTTTTTTTGTTGTCGAACGAATAATATTTCCACACATAACGTAATGTGTATAAGTGTGCGATAATGAAAAGTGAAAGTTCATTTGGAATAGGAGAACAAGTAAAAAAAAAACGGGCCAGTATTATTTCGAGAGAAGCAACGAAACAGCGAGGACTATTGGAGATAGTGGCAGCAGCAAAAAGAACAAAAAAGAAAAACCTAAACTAAAAAATAATAACAATATTATATGTACATTCAAACAAATATTTCTCTCCCGCTAATCATCATCAGTATATTTATTTCATTCTTCGTTTCTTTCTTTTTCTTATACTCATTCCCGAATCGAACCGGAAAGATAAAACATCTATTTTTATACCAAATAACTAAAGCAAAAAAAAATTTTCAAAATTAGGAGACAAAACACTAATGCATATACGTACATTTTTCGAGTAACAAAATTTAATTGTACTTGCTCTATATATTTGTGTGAGCATGCAAATCCAATACATACACACACACACACATTCATCAACTACACCGTTAACGAACATAGACATATCTCTCTCTCTGTGTCTTTATCCGTGTATGCCTACAAAATTATTATTATGATGATTATTACATTGTTGTACTGAGCGTTCGTTCATTTTCCTCATTTTTTTCTCTTTTTTTTCTTTCTATCTTTTCTTCTCTTAATAAAGCTAAAATCAAATCAAACCAGCAATACACCCATAGTGCAGTTATGTAGTATGATTATTATGGATAAAAAAACGACGTCGAGCACAACACGAAGAAAATATTCTTTTAGTGTCTAATTGCTCTTTTTTTAACGATTTTTTTTTTTCATTTCGATTCATTTGATTCTAGATTCTGTCTATGTAGAGAAACAACAATAATTGTTTTGTTACATATATTGAGTCAGAGAGCGAGAAAAAAAAAGCGAGAGAGAATAATTTAATGATGATGATGAAAATAGAGGGAGAGAAGTAGAAAATTACGACAATGACGATAGGAGATTTGATTTAAAAAAAACTGTAATGTAATACATGTAGAGATAGCGGCAGAAGCAAAAAAAAGAAGGTGGATTGAAAAGTGATTATAAAAACAAAAAACGCAGTTCGACATAGACCAATGAAAAAGAGTCATAGAAAAAATTTTTTACCTCGTTTTAACTCATCTCAACATATGGTTGTTTTTTAACAAAATTTAAATCAAATATTTCATTTATAAACATACTGATTTCTTCTTCAAAAAATAAAAAAAATTAATCCTATTTTATTTCTGTATATTGCAAAATAAAGACTTAATTTAATAATGTTTAATATGATTACTAAAGGTAGTTTAAAAAAGAAAAATATAAGGTTTACTTTAGCAAACTATTACTAGATCTGATATTTTTTTTTCCTATAATTCTGTGTATTTTTTTTTAAAAAGTTTATAATAATAATTTATTTAATTTTTTTTTTTCTTCAAAGTTTTACTTACTATCAAATAAATTGAAAATTAGAGCTTTTTTTTTAGAAATACTCACTGAATTGAAGTTCATTATTACTCTGTTTTTCTTATGTTCACTCATTAGTATTTTGGTGTGTAACCATGTAAAGAAAAAAAAGTTGATGTTTAAATATACGATACACATATAAATGAAATGAAGAAAATCGGACAATGTTTGTTAGTTGATTTCTTTATTTCATTTTCATACTTTTTGAGCTTGTTTTTATTCTTCTAATGGTGGTGATGGGAATAAGAGAGAGAAGAAGAAGAAGAAGAAGAAGAAGAAGAAGAAAACAATAAACGTTGAAGATTTGTGTGTGTGTATACTATACCGCTCACTATATATGATTACCTAATCAAGTGAATAGAAAAACATGCGAAAAAAATGAAATGAAAAAAAAAAAAAAAAATTACATTTCTTTGTAAATAATAATAGAGTATAATTTTTTTCCTTCTCCTTCTTCTTCTATATGTAGATGTTTGTGGATTATTATTATTTTGGCAATAAGATCATTTACGATTTTTAATCGTATATACACCCATATACATATTGTTATCTCTATATGTGTCCGTGTATGTCTCATTCTTTGTCTATGATGAATATATATCATTATGTTTACTTCTGAAATAAGTAGATTGTGCATGTGCTTGCTTAGGCTTTTTTTTTTTTTAAAAGTAATGGGTATGCTACATTAAATTCAACAATTATTATAAATTTGTTCGTTTTCTTTTCCCTCTATATACTCATTTTCTTTTTTTCTCTGTTTTGCAGCAATTCTCTTTATTTGATTAAATATGTGTGTGTGTGTGTGTATGTTGGTTGAGTAACATATTTTATATTAAAGAACAAAAAGAAAAAAAAACACAAATGAAATTTTCGAAAAGCTTTTTTCTTTATTCTTTAACAGTAGATTATGTTGAATGAAAGTTAAGTTTAGAGGAAATTGTATACATAGAGTTATTTTTAATTTATTTTTGAATATGACCACATATATAAGAGTACCAATTTCAAACAAAAATTATAAGACAAATAAGCTAAAAGACTTGCTTCCAATCGAAAATAAAAAACAATACCATTCACTGTAACACATTCCTCACAATATTTTAACAAGTTGGAGAGTATCGGAAGTATCACTGTCGAAAATATTAAATAGTAAAAAGAAAATATGTAATAAAAAAATGTCTATATTAACAATATAGAGACTATTAGACTGTTAAAATAGAGATATTCAAGATAATATATCTGAATTGAACATTGTATCAGTATGAAAGAGAAGATAGATTTTTACTTTTAAAACCAAAATAGTTTCTTAAAATTTGTATATTTTATTTTAGATCACGATAATATAAAAATTCTATTTTTTCTTTCATGTCGTCTCGACTTCTCTTTTTTTAATCATACGACGTCTATATAAAAACAAAGCGATCTTCCTATCAAACTTGTCATATATTTAAGTGATACTGATGATTATTGTTCTCTTTTTCGATTCATTTGGTGTATATATAATTTAAGATTTTTTTCGTAGACGTACACTTATTTACTTACGGATGCTGTATTATTCGAAAAAAAGTTCTCATACATTATACTCTTATATATATATATATCATTAGGATGATGTTAGTCAGATTAATAAATAGTGAGTAAACCTCATTCTTGACCATTGTATATATATTTAAAAAGTTATATACACATTTATATGAAGTGGTGATCGTTATTCTTGTTTTTGATCATTCTGCGTTTTTATATACTATACGTTTTTAATCATGTAACACAACACTTACAGTCCTCCTTTTTCCAATCATTATACCTTATTTTATTTTCTCTTTGTTTCTCTCTCTTTCTGGCCAGGTTAAGGTGGAGTTATGTATTCAATTATGGTTGTACATAAAATTCAAATTAAATACCCGACAATAATCGTATATATATTTAAAATTGTTCCGTTTGTCCTCTTGCGTGTATGTGATAAGCGGAAAACTGAAGAGTTCTCGTTCTTTCTTCTCTTTTTCTTTCTTTCTGTATAAATGTGCTCATAGTCAAAGTTGAAAAGCTTTTCCTCGTCATTTTTATTTTAATGTTGATCAAATTTCTTCCCTCTTCTTTTGAATAACGAATACACACACACACACAATGTTTGTGTATATTATTAGAGAGATATGTTCAATACTGTTAATGATTGTAAGTTTAAATAAAGAGTAGAAAGAGAAGGAAAATTGAGGTGAAATAAACAAGTAAAAAGAAATTAAAACAACAGAATCAACCAACTTTTTACTCTATCCCTGCAATTCCAAATCAATAAAATTCGTGTAGTATAAATCTAAAAAATTTTCTTAACTTTTAGCTACTCAATTTTCATTTGAGTTTTGAAAATAAAATTGCGGATGTCTCCTATCTGAACTTCATTACTAACCAATATTGAAAGATGACACCATGAAATATTTTTGAAGATTCCGGATACTTTTTTCTAATAAACGAGCATTTTATATTTAAACTTTTAATATAAAAGAGTATTTAGCAGACTCTTGTTTCAAAAAGAAACAAATTCGTCAAAGATTATATCATATTCTCCATGAAAAACTGAGTCAAATGACATATTTCAATAGGTCACTTGACATTTGTGGTTTCTTATCCACGGGCACTTCGTGACATATGTTTCCGAATACATCCTGATCTACTATCACAAAAAAACTATTTTTAAGCCATTTTAAGGTTCTTTAAAATCACTATAAAAAAAAACGACTATTTACGGTTTGTTTAACTGTAAAAATCAATTTTTTACACCAGTTTTTTTTTAAAGAGTAATAACCATTATGTCAATGACTGTGAGTATTTAAAAATGTATAAGTCAGTTAAAAAACTATCTATTGATATAAAGATTTCAGAACTGACTAAACTAGATATTCAGCACATATTGATCTACTCAAAATGTGAGAATTTGTATGAAAAAAAAAGAAAAAAAAAAGTTAGACAGTAAAAAGGACATAATCTTTGATTTGATGTGAGTATTATGGTTAGTGTAGTCGATCTATCTCTGTCATCAAATAAAAATTTATTCTCAACTTAGGAAAAGTTATCACTCGAGTTGATCAATATTCTATGAAAGTTTCGACAAAATCTGATAATAAGACTAACGATAACTATCAAAACCATTAGAAGATAGGCATCCAGTTGTTTATGTTTAACTTTGAAATGTTTGAGAATAATGATTATTATCAACGTGGGATGTAGTAAATATAGTCGATCATCTTTAAGTGTATTCAAAAAGAACTAAGTTCTATAAAATTG